CTCTCCCTCTCTTCCCCTCCCTCTCCTCCCCATGTTTTCATCCCTAACCACCATCCCTTTTCCTTCCCCTTGATCTCCTCTTCTCTTCCCTCTCTCTGTTCGCTGCCAGTCAAGACCTGTGTGTGTGTGTGTGTGTGTGAGAGAGAGAGAGAGAGAGAGGGGGACTGCTATAGAGCTAATGGTGGAACCCACAGGAGAAACACACAGACAAGGAGAAAACTGATGGCTCGCCAAAAATACCTGCTCTGTTTGTTTTTTCTTTTGTTACATTGTTGTCATTGTTAACAGCTACAAACTGAAACTAGCCACTGTAGACCTGCAGAGTTTGTTATTTTAAGACATTTTTACAATGTTACTGCACCACACACACACACACACACACACTGTGTTCTGCTTTAAACATTATGCTGAATGACATACTGCTTGACAAGTGCTTGTTTGCATTGAGGGCGTATGATAAGATACATAGTGCCTTATTGTTTTCACAGTAATATGATTAACCATTGATTTTCTTTCTGTTTATAAGAACATCCTCACACTATAATGTCATCTGGAGGAGCTCCTATCTAAACATATCCTTTTGCCCCCTGCTTTCAGCACCAGCACTCCTTTATTGATTCTCAGTATATTGACCTTTGGTTGAACTCTTCTGCCTGCAAGTGCCCTTCCTCTTCTGCTCTGTGAGACATGCTATGCACTACGCTATATGACACACCTGGGTGCTTTTAAGCACACCCTCTCCATCAACTGGCTATGAGAGCTTCCATTTGGCCTCTCTGTTATGACAAAGGTATAATGAGGTTTAGATGGCTGTGTACTAGACTGCTATGGCTATAAGGCTATTTGGCTAGGGAGGTGACTATGAATACCTATACAGCCTAGGTGGCAGAGCTTGATGAGAAGCTGAGGCAGAGTGCTGCTAAACATCAAGGTCATGTGTGACTACTTAGAGTGTGACATAGTGAGCAAGTCAAGCAGTCACACGGTCACAAGTTGAGAGAATTAATAGAACAAATAGTGAGAAAGGAGAGTGACAGAGACGATTCTCTGGAATAGGTGATGCTCCAGATGAAGTGATGGTTAATGGTTGCCAAGCTAAGATGAATGCCCCACAGAAGATGGATTTGGGGGCTGGGGGATGGGCAGAGAGTTGAAGCTTTTAGAGAATCCAGCATATGTCTCTCTAATGTGTCCCCGTCTTGATGGGTTTAGGTTGTTTACTCCCGAGTTGTTGACAACTTTAGTTTGCCCATGCATTGCACACAGAAAGCTGCTGGTTGGCTGGTGACTTCAGAAATAGACATGATGGGTGGTTTGTACGTGAACGTGCAAGCTGGAGAATGATGGCGGCATGTGGATGTCAGCCAGGTCACACATGTACACTTGCAGTATGAGGTAGTCTCTCTAGCACAGTCTCCCACCGGACCCTATTACAGAGGAGCTGCCGAGCTGAAGACCCATGCTGCTTAATTACATACGCGTGCACCTACACACAAATGCATGCACACAGATTTTAACACACTTCAACTAATTACACAGCTATTCACCAGTGATTTCATACATGCATGCGCACACACTTGCACATAAATACATGTATACACTTAGACTTGCAAACACAAATAAACTTGAGGTCAGGATATACTCCACTGTGACCACAGAGTCTGGCTGCAGTGTGGCAATTATCCAGTAAGACTGACATGTGCAAATGTGTGTGAAAGTGTCTTCCACAAATCAAGTTATTCATAATGACCTGCATTACATGCACATAAACACGTGTGTGCTCACCCGACAGACACAAACACACAAAAACTCACTGAATCTCCCTCATAAACACTCAAGGCAACATACGCACAAAACAAGTCAAGCCTCATGCATGATTAAACCACACATCCTTGGGGATGATGTGTTGTCATATTGTCTGATTTTGTTTAACAATATGGCAAAATTACTTTAGGATCTAGAGGCAATAATGTTACAATTATTGGAAAAGGGCCCCCCCACCTTCTTTCTACCCTTCTCAACATTCAGTCATCTCCTCTCTTTCAGAGTTAAGGCTAATACTGAGCTCATCCATTCCCAAATGTCTTTGCAGTGGAGGAGCTCATTTAAGCGGACACACAAAAGTATTTGTGCTTGTGTCTGCGAGTATGGCAACGCATCTTCCAGCCGCCCATTCTCCAGCTTAATGCGGAACATCCCCTGGGTGATGGCTTTGGCAGCCTCCAAAATGGGAAATCCATATTTGCCGAGGGGGTCATTGGCGGGTTAGGGGGAGAAAAGTTTTGTGCCAAGAGAGAAGGATGTGCATGTGTGACTTCTCAGGGAGCAAAGTTTTGCATATTTTTTTCTCTTTGTTTATGCTGCGTATTGGGAAAACATGAATGGGTCGATATTTATAAGAGGTGTTGTGCGAGGCAAGACTTCAGGAAGGTAGGTGTTTTCTGATGAGTGCATGTAGGATGGAGGGCTGGGTTGAAAACCCATTTTCATGAAATTGTTTATTCCTTTACTGACACTGTAGTGTCTGTCAGTCATAAGCAAGTGTTTATTTTATCACTTTTCTCTTTTACATTTTTTTTTTATCACAGCACCAATGGAGCCTCCTGTGAAAAACAGGAGCTTCAGTTTGACCTCCCACCAACTGAAGGCGTTAACCCAGCTGGTCTGCACCCTGCTGGGTTTTGAGAGCAAGATGAAGAAACTGGTTACTAACATGACCTTCACTGACTGTACAGGAGACAATACTTGTGTGAAAGGTACAACACCATTCCCCCCAAAATGCACGTGTGCGTACTGTGCATATTAGATGTGTAATTTTTTGGCCAAAAAAAAAATCTCAAATATATTTTGTGTTTAACTGCAAGCCTGGCAGATTTTGAAACGATGATGTTGTTAGACTTCACAGAAGAACAGAAAATTAATACTGTAATTAAAAGGTGAAAAAATGTAAATAATCAGAATAATACAGATTTTTGGGTTTGTTTTTGGGAGAGTGTTGGGGTTACAGCAGGGGGACCTTACAATTTCTAAAACTCTGGCTACAGTCTGCACGTGCGCGACTCCTTCAGGCAAACACCCTCACAAACACACACACATTGTTACTAGTTCTACTGGGACATCTGAGTTGGTTCTGAAGAAATTAGTTATTTTATTCGGGAATTATCTTGGGTGTTATTTAAGTCTTTAGTATCCTTTTCCTCTCTCCCCTTTGAACTGCCGCTGCAGCGATGTTAAATGAAAGCTTTTGGTGCATGGAGTAATTTCCATAAAGGTTACATTTACAAAAACAAGACTTGCAGAAAAGCTCAATTTACAGAGAAGTAAACAGCCTTTAAAGGGCAGTTATCCAAATCATTAATTCCAGGCAATCAAACGACTTAATTACCAGAAATTCATCAGATGGGCTTAAAGGTCAAAAAGTGATGTGCTTGCTGCTTCCTCCTTCTTCCATTCCATGTGGTCTTGTTTGGCTAAATTGCCTTGCCCGGGGTCTCAGGCTTCGCCTTCTGATTAGGAGTCTGTGGCCTTGATGTTCACGCTTTATAATTGCAACCCAACTCAACATCCTGTACGCTTGTCTTCACATCACTCCCCCCTGCATCTCCCCCTCCCCTCCCTATCCACACAGTCTTCCCTGATGGAATTACTCCATATATAGTTGATGCTATCCGGATTCAAATGTAAGCCCCAAATTTACACTTGTAAAGCCATCGTCATTAACATATGCTGCATGTTTTTGCACACTCTAAGGTATGTATACTCCGGTCACTGCGTCTTATTTTGGGTAGTGGGGGAAGAATGGAGTAATGTGACCCGTATCTGTCACTGAGTTACAGTATCTACAGCTGCTTTTATGTTGCCACACTTGGCATTCAGTCAGGCTTTGAACACATACAGTAATATGATACAGTATATTATTAGTGATATAGATATAGCCATGCTAAATAATGTATAGAGTTGAAAAATGGCACATAGTTCTTCATTTTCAAATTGAGATATCACTATTGGTGTTTGGTGAAATTTCACTGGCATGATTTAAACACTTGACCGTGCATAGTTACTAATTAATATCTTTTCAGATGTATGACATGATGGGTGCATTAAAAAAATGTATTGCTCATTTAGGCATCTTGAAAAAGAGAGGGGACAATTTGGACATGGCATCAGATGGCAAGATATCCTCAGCAGAACCACTTCTTCACACACCAGAGGTACGGCTTTTGCGTGTGTTCCTTTGTACGACCCTGTGGGAACATTTCTCTTCTATTACAACTATTCAGAGAGGCAAGATGTTTGTAGGAGTGAAGTAGAATACGTGAAATATTCAAAGACATTAATTGGGTGTTGACGCTTGTTCTGTTTTTCAGGGACATGTTCTGGAGTTTAACTGGATGTCAGCATTTAGGGTGCTGGTCCCTCACATGGAGCGCTGTGTTAAAGTGGCGGTGGATGATGTTTGTGCCAAAAGTCTACAGCAGGAAGAGGTCTTACATTCTCCAGGACACACCTCAGTCACCCTGAGTCGCACAACTGAACATACATCCATCACACATGTCAAAGAAGACTCTTTTTACACCCGGTCAAAGAGAGAGACTCCTAAAATGATAGCCAAGGTAATTTTGTACATAAGATTTTTCTTTTGTTTTGGATATTGAACACACTTGACTGACTGATTGATTGATTAAGCACTTTGAGTTATTTAGAGTGTAGTGATTCTTTCTTTCTTACTCAGGTATACTATAGCTCTGTTAATGACAGTGAAATGAGCCAGAATGTCTTTATGGTAAGTTACAAACAGACAAATGCATTCTAGACGAGGAGCAATACAGGAGTTAAATTATTCACACAACAGTTGACATCCACCACGTCTTTCTGACGGCTTTACAGCGAGAATCCTACAAACTAGATCATTTTGTAACATGCAACTAGTTCAGAAACACAAAAGAGGAAAGATATATCTGGCATCTCCTTTTAGTTGTCCCCTCAAAGGCACAATGTGTAATCTTAATATAAACACAGTGTTAAGTAGTGTTAAGTTCACTACCAAAATAGCACAGTATTGGAACATGCTATTGTTTCTAGACCATTTTCAAGAACACTGACAAAATGAGACAAAAGCTCAATAAACCATCAGTAAATAAATAATGAAAATTCAGATTTAAAATTAAACTCTTGAATGTAATATGCCTATAATTTATAGCTTGGAAATTGTGATTAGGCTATGTAGTTTTGTAATAGTTTAAAAGGTGTTCCCTAAAAAGTAAGCTAGAATTAGCATGCTTATTTAACTACAGCTCAGCAACAATGCCAGTTGGAACGTCAAAGGTCCACGTGGATAACTGGATCACAGGATTTTGCAGTAATGTTTTAATGGGGCATTTCCATGAAGTTAGCAGTGTCAGCTAGTTGCTGATAAACTGTCACATTGAAGCTTTGTCAATTTTAGAAGTCAATTTTTGGTCAGTGATTAGAGTTAGATGTTACTTTGATTAACCTGTTTAAAAGTGTTAATTATAGGACTGTCCTATTCATATTCTTAGTGGTATGGAATGGTGCAGATAGAAAGGGATCTTTGTAATCTCATGACGACTACATGTTGTGTAGAGAAAGAGTTTTGTTAGGTGAATGTATAATTCAATTCAATTCAATTCAGTTGTATTTGTGTAGCGCCAAATCACAACAAAAGTCATCTCAGGACATTTACAAAGTAAGGTCTAGAACTTCTTATTTAGAACTGACTAATTTTAATTATGAATAACGCCTCGAGTTCATTTTCGATTTATATAATTTAGGTGATCACATACCATCTCTATGGAGCACTGGGAGTTTTGGGTGGGTAAGACTGCAACTCTTCGGCCTGGTCTCAGCTCTGGGTTGTCATTATTTAGGCTCTACAATAAAATCAATATAAATTATGACAACTCCGAGGATAGTATGGGTTATACAGATGATAGAGGGATGTATCACAGAGGCAAAGAGGCTGAGGGTAGTGAGCCGGATAAAGAAGTGATAGTGTAGAGATGAGAGGAGAGGTCCTGGGAAATGTCAGGGAGGCAACAGACAGACTTTTCTCAGGAGCAAGACCAGTGTCTTATGTGAAACCAGGCTTAGTATCTCGCCCCAGATATTTGGGGCTGGATTGCCATATACTTACATCTATTTAAAGTGACACCATGCTGTTTTTTTCTTGCACTTTTCTTCATTTTATTTACTACTTTACTAGCATTGAACAACTTTTTATCCTGAAATGTTCTCCAGCTCACATTCCTCCATCTTCCTACCAACCCTTTCTGCTATCCATTGTTCTACCTTTCCCTGCACACTGATTGTACAGACTCTCATTACTGCCTCACCTCTGTACTCTTCTTCCCCTCCTCCTTCCACTCTCCTCCAGCCCTTTTACACTGACAGTATTTGTGGCTGTTATTGCTAACGAGTGTCAGAATTTGTCTGTGCTCAGGACCTGTACAACATATTTATGTGTAGGTCAGTGCTTCAAAGATGAGAGCCTTTCAGCCCAAAGGTTATACATGAATGCATTTGCATTCAATAACACCGAGCCAGACAGACATTCAAGACAAGATCATAAGATATTATATATATATTTTTCCACCGTCCTTTTTTGGCATATGCCCTAGTGTTTGAGCAGAGAGAAAATTACCTAATCATAAAATATGACCAGTTAAAACAGATTATGATGTATCAATAGTTCATACATTTATACTCATGTTCCAATCTAAATCCTTGCTTTCTTCATGTGAATCCACCTCAAAGTCTGTATTACCATACATGTGCTGTCATGATACTGGCCATCTATCAGAGTACTTTTTTCACTGGCAGTCAGATGTGTGCTGAATGCCAATTGCTCTTGGTTAAACATCTGGAACTTTCCCTTCCCATCAGAACCCGAGACTCTGCTTGTTTGGGTGGACGCTTCTAACCTTGATACTAACTTTCCCATGATAATAACGGAAGTGCCTTTTCTGTATTCAGACTTCACTGAATTCCTCGCCTTCATTTTCAGTTTTCCACTTGTGTGTCTACTCCAAATTCTACACACACAAATAGGCCTCCATAACACTTAAACACTTTCCACCACCTCTTTCACCTTGCTGCAGTACTCCTGGTGGGATTTGATCTTAGCTAGTTAAGGTTTCACTCTGACTTCAACACGGATATATACACGTGGTTGTTATTGTGTGAGGGTGGCTGCGTGTTTGTGTATCTGTGTGTGCGTCAACACTGTATGTGTGTAATATGCTTCCCAAGGGTCTCTCCATCACCCCGGTAATGCTGAGCGTTGTGCCTGCCTTTGCTTTTTCTCTCAAAGGTAAGCTCCTAATTACTACATGCACTCAGATTATTGACTTAATTGTCCAAACGGCCATTGTTCGCAGGCCTTTTAACCCCACTGGATGCTTTTATGGAGAAAACTGTGTAAAGAGATTGTGAGATTGTCAGTTGTGTACACGTGCTGGAGCCCTGATCTGACAGAATATCGAACTTCCCAGTCAGCCCGTACAGTAAGTCATGTAATAGAGTGTGTGACCCTAGAATCAAGTAACAGATGCTGTGATTGATTGATTGATTAAACTGGCATAGGTTTTTCTGAATTATGGCAATTTGTGCGACTTGGTTTGATAGTTCCAAGGAACATGAGAAACATGCAGTAGTTTAAGGCTTTTTTAAGAATCTGTCTGACTCATAACTCACATATATAGCTGTATAAATTTAGCTTTGAACTCACATACATGTATCACTCCTTGGCACTTGCCTGATCATCTTTCAGTGTTCTCAATGTGATGTCAATAGGTAGCACATGAGGTAGTAGAAGCAGCAGTGAGCAAGTGTGTGTGTATGCATGTATCTTGCTGTGCAGCTTGTTCTCTGCAGTGATAGGTACAAGGTGTAGTGCTTTTTACAATGTCTGCAGAATACATTACACAAGAGTATATGCATATTATATAATTGTTTTGTGAATGAGTTGGCAACCAGCATCATGCTGTTAGGGTGATGCCAGCCAAACCAATAGGCATTTCCTGTTAACAGTAAGTTCAAATAGGAGCTAATCTTGGCATGTTTGTGAAATATTTTCACTAGCATAGGAATGAAGTATCAGTAATAACACTGTGTCAACCATGCTGATTGACACAGTGTTATCATTCTATTAATTAGAACATTAAAGATTTCAGCTTTAAGTAAATACCAGCAAATACCCATACTGTTGCCAGAGTCTCAGCAAGCACATACACTCAACTATTTTAAATGCCTTGATCAGCCAGTCTCCCAGCCCTTGGAGAGGGAAAGGTGTAGGCAGCCCTTTCCCTATAGGCCTTTCTCTAGGACAAATGTGGATAAATGAGATAAGTCTTGCTTGTAGCTCTGGCAGTTTACAGAATAAGCTGCAGGTCTTTTACATTGCTGAAGCAGCTCTCCCTCCCTCCCTCTCTTGCTCACCTTTGCCTAACCTTTTCTTTTTCTTACCTCTCAGCATGTCTGACACCGCACCTCTTCCTATGTACTGTAACATTTCAGTTTGAATGTGGCTAACATGATGCATGGTGTTATAAAATTACACGTATGTTGATGTATGCTCAGAAGTAAAGGTTCTGTTTCACCTGATACCAATCATGCATGTTCAGAAGCAGATTTTATGTGGAAGGCATGTCTTTGGACATCTGTATTCTACATTTGCGCTAATGTTTGCTTTTCAGGTGCAATGGCTTGCACAAAAAACTCAGCTCAATCTCAAGTGCTTGTCATTCTGATGACTCCTTGTAAATGTTCCATAATTTACATCTATTGAGATTTCTTTCTGATGTTTTCTTCTGTTTTCCCTCTCACTGACAGATTTTTCTCTCTGTTATTGAGATCATCTTATCTTTTCTCTGTCCCAGTTCTGTGGAGCAATCATGGCGGAGTTGGATGCTTTACTACCCTTGGCGGTAGCCTGCAGGGACAGCTCTCTCCTGGAGGTGCGATCAAGCTTTGTGGAGGCGTGTGGGAGGGCAGCTTTTGCCATGTTGGGTCGTTTGCAGGAGAGGGCCCTGGAGGTACCATCCTCTGCACCCCTGAAGAACCTGCCTGCACTGCTGGCCACTTGCATTTATGTGCACCAACGACTGGAGCACTACCATGCCAGGCTGAAAGATTTAAATACTGCTGCAGCTAAAGTGTAAGGAGAGGATGTGTGCATGTTTGTGAATGTGGGTGGGATTACCTGTGTTTGTGGTCATTATGGGGTTGGGGGAAGTGTGGTATATTGGCTGAAGTAAGTTATGTTTATGTTTGTTCTACTATTAATCTGTATATCGACAGTATCTATCTATCTGTCTCTCGATCCACCCACCTATGACCAATTCCAGCCTAAACTGGATGAAAGACAGAAATGGTTAGTGGTAACTGTCTGAATATTGTGATCTCAATGGATAACTTAAAAATCACTTTAGAAGTGCCAGACCTTTGCTATACAGTTCTGCTGGCTGCCTTGCCAGAGAAGCAACCATATCATAACCGAGCAACTGTGTGAGCCGAGTGGTTTCGCTAATCAACAGAAACATGGAGATGGGTTTGTTGAAATCTCATGTTTGCCATTTTCTTTCTGATAAAACCAAATGTTGCATTTACGGATGAGAATTGTACAGTATTTGTTCCTATGCACTATAATCACAGTGACAGATTCACTGATGTACCGTATGAACCAGCAGATGGTGACTGTAGGCGGCAGTAGGTAGTGCTGTTACAGTGATCTTGTACTCCGCACCCATGTGTATTCTTGTTTAAGACCACTCACCATTCCTTTTCTTTAACATTAGTCCATAATTTCAAAACACCTCTTAATATACCATCACTAGACTCATCAGATAGTTAACTGTCTGCTCAACTGATAATAAACTCAATTGCATAACAAACAACTGAATCACAGAGCAAATGAATATATCACAGCTCATCCCGGCTACGTTCTGTGTATTGTCATGTGATTTCTTACTCCTGTCCCAACTATAAGGTTAGATATTAAAAATTCTAGAATATTTAAAAATTCAAGGAAATTGTAGATTTGAGATTAAGAGGAGGGGGTCCAGATAGTTAAAAAAGAGTGGAAATGATTGACAGGTGATAATGACATCCATATTGTTTCTACATCTGGTGAGGTTTTATGCCCCATAATACCCTCTTAACCTCTGTTCTCCACAGATCCCCTCTAAAGTCATCCCTGGTGCCCTCGGTGCTCCAGTTGTCCCACCTCTGGCCCTGTGTGTCCCTCCACCTGCACTTGCACTGTGCCCCCTCCAGTCAAAAAGCACTTTCCTCTCTTTACACATTCTGGTTTTAAGCCTCATGCACCTCTGTTAACACCTCTCTCTGGAAAGTATCAAGGCAGGCAGATTTAAAGGATATGAAATGTCGCAGTGAACCTTAAGGATAAATCATCTGTTCTTTTGTCTGATCATTTCACCTCATGTTTGTTTGATAGCTCCCTGAATATACAGTAGTCAGTTATGCAGGAATTATATGATTGCGCCCAACTGGACTGTTGACCCCAGTGGTCCCTTTGTTCCCCTAATGTACCATACATACTGTATGATAGTTTATGTACTATGTTTTCTGTCATTACCTTTAAATGTTTGTTTCCTTTCTGTGTGTCTAGATCCCTGACTCTACTCCCGATTCAGAAGTACCAAGAAACAGTGAATGCCTTGAAAGAGCAGCTGTCCCACTACTGTATCCAGGTTTGTTTTATGTGCATTCTTCAGGATGCAGAGAGTCACAACTGGGCTGACTCCAAACCCTTCTATGAGGTAAAATGCTCTTATTGCCTGTAATATATTTTGTTGCCTTTCTTTAACCCTTGAAACATATAATTAGTCTTGCCATGCTAAACTATTAAATGGTGAAATAAATGTAAGTTTCTGGCATTTAAGATATATCAGTGGAGTCTATTGAAGTATTACTTATTTACCCCCAAAAATGAAATGTCAGTGACACATATAAGAACCTCAGTATTTTTTTTATTCCTATCATTATAAAAAGTGAACATTCTAATGCTGCATGTCTTAGAAGGCTTGTTCTGTAGATTTTGAGGAACTCTAGGAATTATACTCTAGAGCTTTCTCACTTTTTCTTTTCATTCCCACAAAACACCTTTGCCTCCTACTCTCCCTCTTCTAACTGAGCCTTCTACCTGAGAACATCTGTGGCTTCCTTGCTGCCTCGGGGGCTCCTGGGATTCAGCCGTTGAAGTCTGTAGTCTACTCTGGGACTGTCTGGAAACAGAATAGGGCCCCTGGAACTCCCCTACCTTTATGCCCTTAAACCAATCTAAACCTTCCCACTCTTTCTTACTTCACCCCGCTTTTGCCTTTCCCCCCTTTGTTCCTCCCTCCTTCCCTGGGTCACTGGTGTCAGACAGACCTGCTGTGTGCAGGTGTGTGCTTTTGTTAAAGCATGCCTGTGTACATCTGCACAGATGAATACATGTCTGAGTGTGCAGCAGCATCTCAGCATATGCATTCAATTAGTTGGATATACGTATATGTACACTATGCATCCATAGTTTTGATGTGTATGTGTAGTTGGATGCATCAGGTTTTCATCTCCTTGATCTCTTGATTCTTTCATGGCTTAATGCAGTTCCAATTTGTATTATTCAGTTTTTTGTTTTTTTATTTATAGTACATTGATGGTGACACATGAAACATTTATTATATGAGGCCAGTTGAGGTCAAAAGAAGTTCAGAACATGGCATAATCTTCCTTGTTAAGATTTTTAAGCATTAAGACCCAAATGCAAAATTTCACCTGGAAAAAAATGCTGTGAATTTTATGTAAGACTTAGTCTTGACTCCAGCCAGGCCATATTCCCTAATAGGAATTTATTCACTGTTGACCTGACTGGTTAAATAAAGTTTGACTTGAATGAATGGTAAAACTTCTCAACCACACAAGTAGTTGTGGCTGCTCTTGGTTTTGATCCAACGTCTGCGTCTGTGTTTGCAAAGTCCACAGGCGGAGGATAGCTAACTAATCTCATAGTTAGCCACATAGAGCGTGGTCACGCTCCCCATCACCTGGCGATCCCTAAATGAGTAGCTCCAGGGAGGGAAATGAGACAACTACAATGTGAGATAGATGAGGTGAAGAGGAAAAAAATGAAATGGGACGGAGGAGTGTGATGTGTTGAAGATGGGAGGAAAGTAGAGTTTTGGACATGTCAGTATCTTTTCTACACACACCATCCGCTGGAGCAGAGAAGTTTGGATGAGCTGAGGTAGATCAGGGAGGTTATGAATGAACCCTTCTATATATATGGTATTTTTCAACAAAGCTGCTGGATGCCAGGATAATAATGTCCCCTCTCCCTTCTGACTTCTCATTGTCACTTGTACATGCCTTCTTTTTTCAGAAAACTTTCCCCTCTACTCTCTTTCTGTCTCTCTGTATGTGTGAGCATGTATGTGCGTGCTGTTGTGATGTGTTCAGCAGCTTAGGATTTTAAAGCAGTCTAAAATCCCACTGGGGGATGAAGCCCAGGTGCAGAATGCAAGTGGCGTGACCACTGAGACATTCTGGCGTTGACAGACCTTCCTCTGTCTCTGTCTTTCTTCTCCTTCATGTTTTTCTCTTCTGTGTTTTTTCTTCACTGTCAATGTCCATATCACAATATATCTTCATCTGTTACGCACTCCTTCCATTCTACCACTTTCTTTCACAGGGAGAGCGCTTTTCCTTCTCAGTGCAGATGTGGTTTTACTTCCTGTGTGGGCTCCGTAGTGACCTGTGGGCAGTCCTTCCAGCACAGCTGGCCAAGGAGGTGCTTGGCCAGGTGGTGGCAGAGACTTTACAGTGGCTGGTGCAAAGATATGCCAGGGCCCATCCTTCATACAAGAGACACCTGCAGATCAGGTAGTTGAATATGTACCATTCTGACCTCAGTGATCTTCACTTGAGATTAACTTTCTTTTACAAAGTAGACTACTACAATAATACCTTCTAGCTAGTTTTACTCAATTTCTATTGGTCTGATGGTTGAGGTCTGTTAGTATATCACTGGCACACTACACTATCTGTACAGGCTCAGTGGGTCCTCCTCTACATCCTCTTTTTGGTCTTTTCCTCATTCAGCCGAATGATGACAATGACATACAGTAAGAGGACGAAAGATAAAGAGCAGTGTACCTGTTTAGCACAGCATGATGTCAGCACTAAACCTGGTTTATGTTCCTTGGATATGCATGTAGTTCTGAAGGGACAATTTTAAAGTGTGAGGCTAGGTTAAACAGATGGCTTTTCAAACCTTCTCCAAGTTCTTCTGTTTAGCACTCACATGGGTATTGTTACACTACCTCACCTCTCCTGTATGAGTCCAACTCTGTGTGTGTCTAATAACAATGTACAGTAGACCACAGGGAGGCAAGGATGAGGACACGATATGGAGCTCTCCCCAACAAATTGAGGAAACAGATTTATGGGTGTTAAAAAGTATAAAACCATTGACTTCTACAGTGAAATCCAAAGCTAGCAGTACACTTAACTTCCCAGCAATAAAATCACCAAGTGGTTCTGTAATCTGACTGGCTATGCAATGAGGCTTGCAGATGCCAACCTTTGAAGACAGACATATTCACTTTCAGTGCCTTAACATAATAGTGCATTTTTCCCTCTCTCGCTTATGTTCTCACATTTTTTCTCTCTCATCTCATCATTTCTATTCTCATCTATCAATTCACCTTTTCTGCTTACTGTGTCCAAGATGTGACATTACAGCAGTGTTGATGTATGTGGAGCAGCTTATGTGGAGTTTGTGTGAAAGCCCGGAGGACTTAGTGCATCCCAAATCTTCTTCAACATGTGTCATAATAGCGGGTGGATCAGACTGGCCATATCAAATCCACAGCCTATGTGAACAACTCCTGACAGTCCTTGTCATTGTCACAGCACCCCTGCCTTTGCTGTACAGGTTTGTATGCACATTCTGTTTTTGTTATTTAAATTTACATTCCAGAAAATATGACCTATGTATACCAAAATGATTTGTAATTTCCTTATGATCATATGAGTGTAGCTGCTGAGTGTGTCTTAAATGACAATAGCTTTAACCCCACACTAGATTTTATAAAGACAAAAGTGGACTGCTAATGGTAAAAATAAATAAAATAAAATGGGAAGATACAGGAAGATGATTTTGGTTCCATAAAATTACTACATGGAGTAGCAGCATTTCAATATAAAGGCATGTGTAGATATTTTCTGTTTTAAAACTGTCATTTGCTGTCTCAGTTTCTCCAGGACATTCATGATTAATCCTGTGAAGGAGTCTGTGCCACACCAGCCCAACAGCCCTGTTGTACACTGGCTAAATGCAATCAACCCTGACCTCTTCACAGAGCAGGCCATACAGTATGTAAAATACACCCACTGCACCATATATCACTATATATCACATGTAGTGGATATGTTACATTATGCATGTTCACACACAAACACTCCAGTATGCTAAGCCATTATATGCAGCTCCACTAACTGGATAGAGAACCATATGCATGTGCAGAGCTGCAGCCGCATACCAGTATTATATGTTCAGATACACTATATATCCGGACTTACCCATTGCTTGGGTCTTAAAATTAGAGTTTTTGTGGTAATACAACACAGATGCAAGACAAAAAAGAAGAAATAACAAACTGCTGTTACTGTAGATTTTTTTTATGTTGATGGTTGCTGAGGGCGTACTAGTGTATGTGCTAGTGTATGCAGTTGTATGCATGTGTCTGCTTACATGTATGCACATGTGTGTCCAGTTATTGTTGTGACCTTGACGATGCAGTCAATCACTCTCTTTCTTCACCCTTGACTCCACCCTCCACCCCTCATCTCCCTCACAGCCAGAGGTGATGTCACTGAGTGCTGGGGGAGCACAAATCAAACTAAGCACTGCTCTCCTGCTTCTAAGTATTGGGGAGGTGAAATTAGTTTGTTTTTATGACCTCTTTATTTTTCTGCTCCCACCTCCTGCCTGCTTGCAAGGAGGCCAGAGGGGGCTGCCAGTGGCCCGGGGCCATATCACAGATCCTTATGCAGGACCCAGCCTCTGTGGCCAAAGCAGCCCATTAAAATAAACTAACTATTCTGGGTATTAAATAAAACAATAATAAAATCACAAAGCACAGGTTATAAAGAAATTGTCTGAAGTTATGTTTTCTGGCCTGATGTGTATTTCTGTATTCCTCCTGCCTTTGTATATATGTGTGTCTTGGTTATGTAATTTGACCCTGCGGCCAGGTAGATTTATCAGAGCAGTTAAAAGAGAGTTTCTTGTGAATTTGCAGTCCCAGTGACATCATAAATTGCAGTGTCAGGTTGAGGCACAGTTTTCCTCAGTCAAGCGGCAGGGTGCACCGTGTTCTAGCTTTTTGGCTCAAATAGAATGGTTAATTTCTGGGCACACACCCCTATACAGCCTCCCACTTCCTCTCTCTTTCGATTCTAACTCTGTCAACTCCTTCCAACAGATTTTATTGAGATGTATAAAGTAACATGCAGTCAGCATGCTCTCATACTTGCACACATACATAACCACAAGCATAAGCACTGAAGGGTGCACACACACACACACACACACACACACACACACACACACACACACACACCAAGGATACGGCTCATTACCCACAGCTGGCTGCAGCCTCTTGGTTATACAAAAGATGTAGGAGGGGGGTTCTGCTGTATATTCATGTATTTGGCTGTCTCCCAAATGTTAATTTGCTTTTAGCTAGCCAAGATTAGAGCTAATTCCTTCCTGATGCACTCTATAAGTAAGTGAGAGTGAAGGCATTTTCAGAATAAGTTCATATCAGAAGTGAATGACATTGAAGGAAATTACCATTGTGGCGTAAGAACTATTTCCTCCTGGATTGGCATCAAGGACAACTGTGACATCTGTCTTTGTGTTTCATTTGTGAAGCTTTTTTCCCTCCTTTATTGTCTTGCTAAACAGACTACTGTCTGTACTCTCACCTGACACTGCAGAACTGTCAACTTTGTTTTGCTTCTTTCTGCTCTCAGAGATGGCCCTAAGAGTCAAGCAGCCCTTGCATGTCAGCTAAGGCTGCTGACCTCTGACCCAGGAAGCAATCTCAGGTTGCTGCTGCGGATGCTGCTGTACAGAGATTGTCACCTGCCCAGAGTACTCCTGCAAAACTCTTGTAAGTCTGTTTTTTAGTGTATGTAGATTGATATACAGCATGCTGATGGAAAAAGACAAATGTGTGTGTATGAGAGCTGTGTACATGTCTAGCCATCTATCTTTTAAGAGAAAATTGAAGCCACTTGCTTTACTTCTTTAATATTTCCCTTTTTATATTAGTGGACCCACAGAGCCAACCCTACAGGGGCCATGCGTAGGAAGGTGTTTACCACTGTCTTAATTATGATGCTCTAAGATCCTAAGCGAGTTATTCAGACCTTAGATGAGCTCTGTCCATTTTATGAAGTTATCATCAGCATCTTTGCCGTCATCATCATTTTCACCTTGGTAATCATCATCGCTAAATCAATAGAGCGTAGTAATAAACACTCAACAGGCCCAGGCGGAGCACACAGGCTGACCTTTAAAGATTTTCCCTTCCTTCTTCTCTGCTCCGCACTGCAACAGTCTAACCTTTAAAGACTGTTGTGCACTCGCACATTAATTCACATTATAGCGACCTCATTAATAACCACTCTCACTGTCTCATTCTTTTGCTCGGTCAAAGTCTGTCTCAGAGGCCCTGCAATGCTTCTCCCCGCACGCTGCCGTAAATCAAACACTGGAAGCGCTGAGTCTCGCGTGTTATCATGGTGACTGGCTAATTAACCAGGAAGCAGACAGACAGACAGAAAGAGCAGCTTGACTGAACACCTACACTTCCCCATACATGTATATCCTCGAACGTCTTGGTGGTTTGATGATATGTAAATGGATTTCTTTGCAGAGGGATAACTCCTCCCCCACATTTACAGTAACAGTTTTTGCTTTTGTGAAACTCACCCTAACGAACGTACACTACAGTACTTCTTTTGAACACAAACACATGCACACATACACGTACACGCACACACGGCCTTTTTATTATCATCAATGTGGCTGCTTCCAATTACAGGGGTTTGCAGAGAGGACTCTTGTGACTGGTTGACTGGTTTTCCGGAAGATAAACAGGTGTATGTATTGGCTGTGTATCAAGGCTGGATAATCTTTGAGAGAGAGGAAGGGAAAGATGGTGAGGAAAAATAGAAAAAGCAGCTGAAAACCTGACATAGAAACACAAACACACTGAAATTATTGTGTGCTGCAGCAGTAGTGGAAACTCCACAGAGATGTGCCAGCACACTTTCATCTGTTTTTTTCTGAACTCATCAGCCGCTCCATAATGGGATCATTATTAAAAGGCACCTTGTTAACCTGCCCTGCTCTCCAGCACCCCAAGTGGAAATTAATGTTAGTCACCACTGTCTCCTCCGAATGTTGCAGCCAGATATCCAGAATACTGTCTCCTTATGGACCAATTACCATAAAGGTAGAGAACAAGATACAGGTGAAACCTGCATAATGACATCTAATTGACTGATTGTAGGCCAGGGTGGCTGGCCACATTTTAGTGTGTGATAGTTAAAGAAAAAGAGAGAGTGAGGAACGTAAAGAGGAAGAGATACTGACAGGGAGACAGATGAAAAATCAGTTCTCATCTGGACCTTCAGTGGTGGCAGTGCACCCCACCTGTCTGCTATTAAGCTGACGGAGATTATTGGCCCTGTTATGCAGCAGCTAATTTAGCCCTGTCATTTTAAAATATTTTAACATTAGTCAGATGGAAATCATGCTGCCCTCCACCACAGCGCCCCCTCACTGACTGCTGCATTGAATACACTCTCCTTTTCAGATAGCTGTCATCTCCCACACAGCAGACTGACAGACCGCTGGATGTCTGCCACCTCTGGAGCAATGGGCCTTTCCTCAGCAACCCCTGTCAACTGTAACACACACAAACAACTTTTAACACACAAACCACATATATAGACATCCATATAGGTTACACACGCACATACCTCCATCCTCAGCCCTGTGCTCAGACAGCAACCCCCACAAGGACACCCTGTCAAAACCTCTTCCTTTTCACTTCCTGTCTCCATGTGCTGTGGATCCCACAGCCAAGGGCTTTGAAATCTGTTTCTTTTTCAGTTTTTTCCCCCCCTGGTCTGTTTTTTTCCCTCCACCTAACACAGATGTGGCTTTTTCTTCTCCTTCTATTCCACAATTCCTTTTGTTCAGCCTTTCTGTTAACATATGTCAGGTTGGGCAGCCTTGACATTTTCCAATGTGTTTTTGTGCAAAGAAATCAAGATGATGATTCATAGG